CTTTTGTTACGAGTTTAGTAAAAATGAAGCTTACTTTGAAAGAGAACCGCTAATGGGTTAATTGTGAGTTTTTTTTATAAAATGAAATGTGCTGCAAAGTTAGTTAAAAAAACCGAAGAAAATGCGAGCTCTACTAATATCAACTACAGTCCTGTCCAAAAAGATCTCATAGCTAAATGTGAATGAAATTGAATGTCTCTCGGATGCCAACTTACTCGAAGGGCTTAAAATAAGCCTTAGCAAATACGCTGTGGAAATGGTATGTAGTTGAGCAGTCTGAATGTGAGTACGTACAGGTAGGATCTCAAGTTAACTAGCATTGGTCGAGTCGACCCCTCTTCCCGCCCTGACCCTTCTGTGAAAGATGAAGGCTTTTGGTGAGGGTTTTGTAAAGGCAATATTATAAGCGTCGAAATACACTCTATGAAAGGGAGAGATTTTATGACTACTCTTGTTAGAACAAAAATGTTGAACTTTTTGCCAACGATTACTTTTGAGGGTAAATAGTAAGAATTTAAAAGTTGTTCAGAATACTACTAGACAGCTACCGTATCAGAAAGTGAAGTACATTATTCACACTCTATTATTATTGAATCACGGGGTGCGCAATAGGTTTACCTCCACGTGGTGCACCCTGGGCAACGTATACTTATACGGCAAAAAAGTCTATTACTCGGCATTTGACTTCTGACTTCAAAATACTATGGCCCGACTATTTGTCATATTCGATCCCTTCCAAAGTACTCATCTTACCTTTTTCTCTACCTTTGTGTCTGTCTCTTTTACATCTTTGAAACACTCTTCTGTTTCCCCCCCCCCAACTTTTTGTCACTTTGATGTCCCTTCTCTTCTCTGTGAAGCCCCGAAGTCAGCTCCAAGGCTAATGATAACTATCAAGACCCCTTACCATTCGATATAAATAAATTATTGAATCACACTTTCCAGTTGCTGAAAGTGTACACTGGAAAAGTGCAATGAGCAAGCCCACAACTCGACCCAATTTCCAATTCGATAACTAAGTGAATTGTTTCATAGAAGACATTCCCAAAGGTTGGTCTTTGTAACATCCGAATCTGAACGCGACCTTTTGTTATTAGCCTTTCATTAGATCAGCTAATATGTAATCTAATGTGTACTTTCACGTCAGTAGATGGTATCCTCAGAATGCGATTTTCAAATTTATCCATATGGCAAACAGTAGTTCAACTATAGAATGCCAAAATGAGTGGAAATACCTAAAATGGACTAAACTTGAACTTCCGCAACTTTTTCAAGAAAACTGAGTATCGTTAAATAAAGCTTTAATATTTTTACAATTGTCTTCCCCTAATGTTTGCTGATAGGGTTAGTTAGTCGGAGTTGCATTATTTGCAAAGATCGATAACGTGCTCTAATGCTTACTTTTCTCGCAGCCTTGAGGAACAGTAGGATAATGATATGCACTGTAAACATAGTAGAGTTACCTGGATTTGACTCAGGATGAATTCTAGTGATGCTCATAACTATGTCGCAAATGCCAAAATATTCGAATATTTCCATTTTAATGTAATTAGGTAAATAAAATAAGCAATTAATCATATTATACGGGGCCATAAGTGAAGCTTTCAATTTATCATCATCTGAAAACAAAGCACTATCCCTTGGCAAGGTATACAGTCCGTCCATTAGTTAAATGACTTGAGAAGAATTCGGGGTGTTTGCATTTCAATCAAATCCCCCTTTCCACTCCCCTAACTCGTTCTCAAATCCCACCCCAATGAGGCCAGGTGTCCCCAATTCCCAACTAGACACACAACCATGACTCATTCGCATTCTAATCTGGTCATATTGTCGTGATGGTGACTAACTTTCGAAGACGTACCTTGAGACTGCCTGTTGTACCATTTTAAAATCCCAACGATTGAGATGTTAGTTACTAGGACAATCTGAGCACTGAGAAATGGATGCTCCCATCAATACCAAGCCGTTGAGAATTCAGTAGATTTCAGATCATGAAATAATATATTCCAGATTTAATTAATTATTAATAGAGAAATGGAATCGTGAGATATTCCCGTGGTGTGAAAACCAATTAGCTCATCTCTAAATTGACACTCTTATTAACGTAAATGATATTAATTTTTTACTTAATTTCTTAAATCATCGATGAAACTGTGGTCTCTTGTTTTTCAGGATGGTATTAGTTGATCTTTGTTGCACTCACCAGAACATGTACTTTTCCAGAGGCTCATCTTTAAATTTGCCTTCGAACAGCTAATTTCCGAACTCTATAGGGTGCCGATAACTTGGTGTGCTCGTGCTTATTTTAATGTGTGAGGTTACTTTCAGAAAATATGTACTTTTATTCTGCGCATTGTTTCACATTGAAATTTCCTCATTTAAGTTCCAAATGGGAATTTCGGGTTTTTTATGCTAAGGGGGTGTTGTGTCTGAAACTGATTTGCCATCAATTGTATCGCAGTTTTATCCGTGTTTCTGGGAAAAAAGTGAAGGCGATTTCTTAAATAAATATATCTTTCAGAAATTTTGCCGGAACACATACTATTCGTATTGGATGTTTTTGTAAGAAGCTTAAGAGATTTGGTTGTAATATAGTGCATAAAGGGGTGTGTGATAGACTTACCTCCACGTGGTGTACCCTGGGCAACGCATACTCATACGGCAAAAAGCCTATTATTCGGCAGTTGACTTCCGACTTCAAACTACCATCACCTCACTCTATGTCATATTCGACCACATACGCAGTACTCACCTCACCTTTTTCTACCTTTTCTACATACGTCTATAAAACACTCTTCTGTTCCCTCCCCCCCCCATCCTCTCGACTTTTTTCACTTTGATGGTCCTTCCCCTCTGTGAAGCCTGAAGTCAACTAAAGGGCTGATGATAACTATCAAAATGCCTGCCATTTGATACATATAAATATATTGCATAAAATGAGCATTCTTGCTAGAATATGATAATTTAATTTGACTTAAATTCGACAGTTAGTTATGTGAGGATTTTATCATTGGAAGGAGAAGAACGTCCCCACTTGAATACTTTTTACAAAGGGCAAAAATTTTCATCGAGCTTCTGTAGTTAATGTTTCATAGAGAGGGTGTGCGATAGACTTACCTCCACGTGGTGCACCCTGGGCAACGTATTCTCATACGGCAAAAAGTCTATTAACTGGCAGTTCACTTCTCACTTCAAACTACCATGACCCCACTGCATTTCATATTCGAATAATTTCACTGTACTCATCTTACCTTACCTTTTCTCTACCTTTGTGTCTGTCTGTCTATCTCTTTTACATCTGTGAAACATTGTTCTGTCCCCCTCTCGACTTTTTGCCACTTTGATGTTCACCTTCCTTTCTGTGAAGCCCGAAGTCAACTAAAGGGCTAATGATACCTATCATAACGCCTGCCATTTGAAATAAATGTTTCATAGAGTGTCTTAATGTCGGATCTTATACTACTGGCTGGTGATACCGTCTTAATAACTTGAATTGCCTTATAAATGAGGATTGAAATTTACTTATTCTGATTCATAGAAACGCTGCTTAAGGAATTTATTCTAAATATGGTTGTGCCAATATTCTTAAAAACGGTCTGTTATTCAGTTTGAAAATAGCAGTGAAATGAATCATTACACCTCACAACTATTTGCCACAAATTGAAGGAATCGTTTGAGGTGTTTGCTCTGAATCCAATCAATTCAATTTCGGTTAATTAAAGTCAAACACCGCAAAGCTAATCGAGATTCATCCAAGGTGATTTTATAACCGCATCTAATTAGTCCCTATTTCGCCCTTGAAAGCTTTTCTTATCCCGTTGAATTGCCCCAAAGGCTATTAAGCCTTTAGGCACTTGAGACGGGATGTGATTTCTTATTTCAGTTGTAGGGAAATGGGATTGTATTACTACTTTCCTAATCGATTCAGAAAAATTATACTACTTTATTCCTTCACTTAAAGGGAAATTCGAGCAATGATATGATTAAGTGAGGCGAGAATAAGCAAACTGAGTTGAACAAGTAGAGGTTGGAAGACTTAAAAGTTGAAGATTTCAGCCACAATCACCTTCCTTAATGTAATTTTATCATTTTTTCACTGCGATAACTCGGCTAAGAACTATGTTCCGAACATCTTTTGTTACCAAATGGTTGAAAATGCGTGTCATCGATAAGCAGTACTCTAAAATTCAGATTGGAATTTAAGCATCGGCTCCATGTTCCATACACTTAGTGTGAGTCAAGATTTCCTTCAAAATAAAACCCCTCATGTAAGAATTTAATATAGGTGTAATTTGCCAGTGAGATAGGAGTTCCTATGGTGATGGTCGTGGTGATGGTACTTAACCAGTTTTTTATCTCTTAGCCAAAAAGCACTTTCTCGGTAATTTAATTTACGATCTGCTATGCTTACTTACTACGTAGATAAAGGAGGATTTTCTAGGGTTCTTGAAACTTCACATGCCAATTATGGAATGCTAACAGATCAGCTGAGGAGGAAAAAACAGGAATAGGAAACTAGCGTCCTCTCACCTCCTGTTATGCCCCGCACACTTGGCCAAGCGCCCCACCCTATGATCTCCTCAACCACTTCGACACAGCAAATAGAAGTATGATTTCTGAAGTATGCAAAAGAGGAATGAATCATTAAATAATGTACTAATAACAAGTTACATAAGCCATCCCCTTTTACCCGTTGAAGCAAAAAAGAAGCCAACGAAATTGCCAGAAAGACCAGATAAAATATTGTTTCAGCATACAATGTATAAATGAATACAGAACGTTCAATAAATAAGTGCATATGTACATATTTTAAAGAGGAGAATCCAAGTGTATCTCTCTGGGGTGGGGGGGATTTCGATAAGCACATAATATTATAAGTATATGCATATATATAAATATATATATACAGCGCGCCGAAAAAAAAACTAATTCAGCAGCCATTGGCACTCATGGTTGAGCAAGATTGGAATGGGGAAATAATTGTGTTGGGGAACAGAGCTCTAGAAGAATACGGATTTCGTTGAGGTAGCTGATGGGCTTATTATATTAGGGGTTATGGGGGCTGACGTGCTGAAGCGCTTGATCTCGCCTGACTCCCAGATGGATTCATTCAGGAAATCAATGAATTTTTTCCTCGCATGAGCCGTAGGGAGACTAATGCTGGTTAGAACGCTCTTTTCGTCACATAGCTGGACTCCAAACCTGTAAGCTGGAGAAAGAAGAAGAGTTAATTCTCGTTTTTTTTCAATAATAAGCATGAGCACTTTTGACACACACTTACATTCACATTCAAAATGGAGAACCTTAATATTTTCAAGGGATATAATTTGCCGGACAAGGAAAGGACTGTTCGGAGGAATATCTGTTGAATACTGTTGATAATTTCTGGAATCATGAGACCGAACATGCACAGTTTGCACAGTTAAAGGTTCTACACAAGGATCAGCTGAAGTTGGAGTGGGACTTCCAGATCGACTGGCTAACCGATCAAAGGATCTAATTCGATGATTACCACTATTGAGCATTTCATCGACCGCATTGTTGCGATACGATCCCACAGGTTTTGTAATGACCAGTAGATCATTGAAGATAAACAGACATCTAATCTGGGAGGAAGGTCGTTGAATAATCGGCTTTCTTGCTGTGAAATCAAAGACTTCAAGACCAGAGAACCAAGCCACGAAACGGCGATGGCGCTGAACGAAATTTTCGGGTTTGAGAGCTCCAGAAAATAGGTCATCCACTTTTCTAAGGCGGTATGTAGGATCAGGTAAGGTTTTGAACTCTCTTTCTGCAACTCTATCATAGATGCCTTCTAGTAAAGACGTGGAAATGTCCTTTCCTCCATCAATGCCTTTGTTATTATTGATGAATTCAGTCTTGGTCATGGGCTTGCCGTGTTTCCGCGCATTCTGATTGTAGAATGTGGTATGTAAAAGCATTATTGAATACGCCAGGACACCAATGGTTTCTGGGTCATGAAATTCTTTCGCGACGCTCTCGGCATTCTGTTCTATATAACAGTTCTTAAGCACAGTGAGAAGGAATTCAATCTTCTGGGATTCACCATCGGGATGGAGCTGTTGGAGAAGACGCCTTAGAGCAACATCCAGCTCAACGCCATGAAGATTAAGACGTCTGATGAAGGCTTCTGTCACCAAATTTGCAAAAGGATCAGAGAGTTTACCGAAGTATTCTCCAATTGCCTGCCTGCTCAACTCCTTTTCTGCTAAAAATTCCGCAATTTCTTTTGGATCTCTATTTAATATTCTCTGATGAATTAGATATTCTATTCCTAAGTTGGGATCTCTAGAAAAATGGTACATTCGTATTAGATAAACTTATTAAGATACCATTCAAAGACCAAGGAGTTGAACTTACTTGTTAAAAAGAGCTTTTCCTGCCAAACGAATTCTTTCTGTGTTTCTTACTGAATCTGAGACTAGGGAAGTATTAAGTGACGTTGATGCAATTTCAAAATGAGTTCGGGTCGTTTCATCAAATGGGCTGAGCTTTACTGCCGGCGTCTGGTGTTTGTCGACGTCTGTCAGAGTAATTCCACTTTTCACAATGGGAAGGTCATTTCCAACTCCTGACACCGATAAATTTTTCCTGTGCCTTCCGTTCAGAGGTCGAGGATTGCTTGTATCTAGCGATTGAGCACTCTGTGATCGGCTGGAATCAATAGCATTGGAAAATCGCCTCCGTGAATAGTGCTTCGGTGGAGACCTGGGATAAAGTAAATAGAGATTTAATTAAAGTTGAAATCGCAGAAAAACTTGTAAGAGAATGATTATAATGTAACCGCCCAGCTTACTTTACTTCGGTGGCTCTAGGTCTTCGAAACCGATTGGTAACCCTTTTGGGTTTGTTTGAAATAGCTGAAAATCTTTTAGCAGCTGTGGCTATGAGTTTCGGTCGTTTTGCCTCATGAAAAACAACTTCTTCCGCTTCAGCTAAGGGCGCAGCCTTAAGCGGTCCCCGTTTTAGCTCTCTAGGTTGAATTATTGGGGTATTTGAAATCATCAGTGGTTTCATAAAAGTCTCCCTATCCATTGTACAAATATTCTCCATCTTTATCTCTTCGTCTTCTTCAGTTTTATGGTCTATGGTTTTTCGGCGTCGCCAAGTTTGGAATGAAAGCCTAGTTTTAATTGTGGTTTCCGATAATCGATTATCCGAGGGTATTCCACTCAAACGCTTAAAAAGTTTGTGCATAGGACCGGCGATACTTCGACGGCGTGTGGAATGATCGATTTTTGTAGCATCATTCTCTTTCTCAACTTCAACGGACATGATTTAAGTTCAGTTTGAATCGAATGGTTCTCACTAAATAGTGTTATCGTGTGAAGAAACACGAGCAGCCAATCATAATCAGGCATGACAAATTGACCAATCATAAATGAGCCTGGCCATAGCACGCGAATTCACATTAAACCAATTAGATTTACTCCTTGTCCCAGTCCTTCAACCAATCATAATTGTAAGCATCTAGAATAGTTAAAAGTGATTGTTTTTGGTAATTTTCTCCTTTATGATGTTTAAACAAATCTCTCATTTGCGATTCTTTACATTAAATTGATTCGTGAAGTTATTGGTGAACTTTTATTATTTCAATACAAAGTGAAAGCGAAGTTTATTTTCTTAAATTTCATTACTGCTTCATGAGCTCTGTAGAGCAATGTAATCGGTTATCTCAGATTAGTTATCTTAAGATCGTACAGACCTCTAAATTTCATGCAAGACTGGTGAAGTACCAACGACAACTACAGATCAATCAGTTTACGGAATCAAATAAGATTCTTTTGTTAGACCATCTCCAGACAGCAATTATTGGACATACTGATAATCGATTTCCCACAATGAAAAACACTTACGTGTCGTGGTATTTGTTATAAGGTTTCTTATGAAGCTAAGATACTTAGATTACTTCTAACTTCTCACATTGGAACATTTTCAAATCTTAAGAAATAAATCATATTTGATTACAGTCATTTAAGAAAGACATCAGCCATAGGAAAAAGCGGAAAGAATTTCAATTACTATATAAACTTTTTATCAGCACTTCTCTGTCTCATTTCTATAACTCTTAGCTTTGAATTCCTGTTTTTTTTGTCTTGACTTGAAAGGACAACTCCCTAAAGTTAGTTACGCACGAACACGGTAACCACGAAAGTGATTCACCTTTTCTTGCATGTATGATCGTCCTGTTGAAAAGGACTCTGTCCCTTTATACCCCCTCTGTTTCTATTTGTCTTTTTTAAGGGCATAAACTAAGATGCATGCGTTTGCATGTACAGAGCCACAGAGGGACCAATATCAGGCTTCATAAAGTGGGTTCTTAAAGGTCTACTTCATCTCTTAGTTGTCTATTTACCTAACTGTCGTGGCCATTTAAATGCGTAGTAGGTGGTCCAGTCCCTAAACCATAAGTGGACTGGAAACTTGTGGTCACATCCTAAGGTCAACGGAGAGGGGGGACGTAGCCACGTGTGTGTGTGTGCGCGTGTGTGGGAGGTCCAATAGAGCCCCTCCCCCTTGCTGAGGTTTTATGTCTAATGAACTGAGAAAAGGCCATGCGTTTTACACTGAAATATGATAGTAGTGAAATTCAACATTTACCTTCATGCACTAAAATCTACAGGTGGGAAGGGGAATCGCTATCAAACATCCAAATTACCCGGATTTTAGAAAAAAAATTAAAATTGGTCTTCTACCAACTTAACGCAAAGAATTCACGGTTGAGGAGAAGCTGAAATTTAGTATGTATAATGCTCAACCATTTATCTAGTATTAATTCCTACAATTATCAGATTTTCAGCCAATAATTTAAATAAATATTCCATTGGAGGCTGAATTAAGATGGTGCTGTTGGAACTGAACGCTCCAAGGACTCGGATAACAATTTTTACCAACGTTTCCAAAAAAATTATTTAGGTATGATCTATAATATTTTGAAGAGTAGCATTTAATTAGCTGAATTTAATTAATGAATAGTTTCAAGAATGACCGATATGATAAAAAAGTGCTAAAGATAACTCCCAAACCTGCCCGAATTCGTATTTATGTCCAATGAACTCCTCCGAAATGGATTCTTAAAAATGAGTTGGAGAGGTTACTCGTAATCAAAGGGAATATAATTGCGCACACTATTCAATAGAAGGGTACATACCCTCTGTGAGTTTAATATTTTAAAACAGTTGGGATAACGATGAAGTACGTATATCTGGTGGAACGGGTATTGAGATAATCCCTCATATGAAACAAAGTAAATAGGGATCTAAAATAGCAGAAAATTAGTGGACCTGATAACAAGGTCAAACAAACTCTTCATTTGTTTCAAATGGCAGGCTTCATGATAGTTATCATGGGGTGTGCGATAGACTTACCTCCACGTGGTGCACCCTGGGCAACGTATATTCATACGGCAAAAAAGTCAATTATTCGGCAGTTGACCTCTGACTTCAAACTACCATTACCTCACTCTATGCCATATTCGAATATTTCACAGTACTCACCTCACCTTTGTTCTACCTTTGTGTCTGTCTCTTACATCTTTGAAAAACTCTTCTGTTCCCCCCCCCCCTTATCGACTTTTTCAATTTTATGTTCCTTCCCCTCTGTGAAGCCTGAAGTCAACTAAAGGGCTAATGATAACCATCAAGACGCCTGCCATTTGATATAAATAAATAAATGATAGTTATCATTAGTCCTTTAGCTGACTTCGGGCTTCACAGAGGGAAGAAACATCAAAGGGAGAAAAATTCGAGAGGGGGAGCAGAAAAGTGATTCAAGAATGTAAAGGAGATAGACAGACACAAAAGCGGAGAAAAGGTAAGATGAGTATTGTGGAAGTGGTAGAATATGGCATAGAGTGAGGTGATGGTAGTTTGAAGTGAGAAGTCAACTGCCACTTAATAGACTTTTGCCGTATGAGTATACATTGCCTAGGGTGCACCATGTGGAGGTTATTCTACCCCAGGTCAAA